TATGCTCGTTTTTGTGACACTCTTAATGCATTTTATTTCTTTTCTTTATGTCTTTTCATCGTCTGTTTGATTACATCTTTAATTAATTTTTCCGTACATTTCTGCTGTATGTACATTAACTGACAGTCACCACTGATAAGCTACTAAATATTGTAGAAACGTAATTTTCTGTAAAGTTGCTTTGCAACGATTTTTATTGTGAAAAGCACTATACAAATAAACTTGAATTGAATTATGTCTTTATTTGATTAAATCCATCTGATCGCACAGGCGCCTCACGCACACACAATCAACACTATACCGTTGCCTGACATTTCAGCCATTCATCATCAAGTCAACCAAACATAAAAGTTACACTGTTTATTTTAAAAAATTCCGCTGTAAAATCAGCGTGCAGTGCCCAAACAAACATTTTTGCTCATGTGAAGGATTTACACCAATTTTAGAACATGAGTGAAGTATAAAGCCATGTTTAGGCTGCATAATGAATAATAGTTATGCAAACAAATGTTACAAATATGGCAAAAATGGAAACATTTGGATTCTTGTGGTATGAGATGTGGTATGAGCCCAATGCCGTTTCAGTTTTGTTTGACTTTATATGCTGTTTATAATGAATGCCACAATAGCCTAATTAGTTTATTTTATAGTTGAATATATCACTTTATAACTACTTATTATTCATTCTTGTTCTGTTCTGAATACCGTTAAATTTAAAATATTTGTTGTAGAGTGAGGGAAACTAAATCTGTTTATATTTACGAGTATTTTAATATACATATAAATTACATAAATTAATGTAGCCTAATAGTTTGCAATTACAAGGTTAACGGATGTTTTTGGAGTAAGATTAATTTCTCTTTGACGAGATTACTTCCTCTTTTTGGCCGGGTTTCGTTTCTCCGTGTCGTAAACTCTAGGGGCAAGGCTTCAAAACCAGGTTGTTTTTAGGGGCGTGATATTCAAATGACGATTGTTTTCTGCCGCCACATTTACTGTATCAACGTGCGATCATTCGTACGATGAGATTGGCGGCATACGAATGTTTCATGAGTCACACGTGAACTATGTTGTTAGTTGATTTGTGCGCACGGATCTGCGCTCGTTTCTACGTTAGACTGATAAATGAGGCCCAGTATGTTTACATCAAATGAACAGTTTTGGCTCTGGAAAGAGTGGTGTGCTATATAGGACAACTTGACTGACGGAGCATGTAATTAGTGAAGTGTATCATAGCTCTCAGCAAAAGGACTGGAGAAAGATCCTTCACATTCTGGCACATCCGAATAAATGTGAAACTGATCTTTATTCTGCAAGATGTGTTACCAAATAATGTAATATAACGAATGAGGGAAATTAAATATGCATATAATATATGTGTTAATCGCTTTAACTTGCTTATTATTTCAATATTTTATTACGTTACTCACTGCATATGACAGATGCAGCTTGCTTCATATTCAAAGAGCCATAAAAATGTCCAGTTTCTGATAAAGCTCTGGTAAACACTGCCAGTATTTATATGCAATAAAGCGGTGACATAAATCAGCACAAAAAGATTTATGTTTGCTCTGAAAAAGTTTGGAAATGTGCTGTTTGTGGTGGCTTGAATTGAGGAGTGTCTGGGTCTCTTGAGGGGTTTACTGCTACTGCTGAGCTCTCCCAGCTGCCCCGGGAACATCTCCACAGCAGCTAGGGTCACACCCACCACTTCCACCACACACAAACACTCTCATGGTTTCGTCTGGTGTGCTGCTTCAAAGAAATCACTTAAAAGTACAGCTTACTGTCCAACTGACAAAATAAACAATCACAAAATACAAACTTTAAAGTGATTTTACAACCATTAAAGGGACAGGTTACACAAAAATGACAATTCTGTTATCGTTTACTCACATTGTATCATTCCAACCAGTGTGGTTTCTTTTTTCTGACTTGTTTCAAACTGTTTTTGCCCAATCAATTAAAATCAATGGCATCCACAACAACAATGAACCTTGGGATTATGAAATCTTATTTATTTTTTTCCCAAATTCTATGCTTTCCATTTGAATTTCAACTTAATTTTTATGACTGGATTCCATGATTCTGTCTGCGTTTTCTGCATTGTGGAAATCATAGGGTCCTAACTGAACCCTTTGACTTTCAATGTATGGACAAAATATTCTGTTGAATGGATATTTAAACATGGTAAACATTGCGAAACGTGTCTGGCAATCAGATGTGATGCTTAATTGCCAAGACAAACTCTTTGTTTAGTTTTAGTTGTTATAAAAGCCACACAGGACAATAATAATGTATGGCCATGCCTGCAGGCACAAGCCAAAAACAACACAGATGCTTAAGATAGTTTTTGTTGTTAATGAAGAGCAATTAAATGCTGAGTCATGTTATTTTGCTACATTACTCATGTTAGGCATCAATTTATGACATTCCTAGCAAACTGTTTATGATTTTATTCTCTGCTACGAGAGCTTCACAGTGCTTGGATAATCTTTACAAGAAACCCCCAGAATTCCAAGCATTCTGAGAATTAGCTGTTAGACTCTGGCCCAGGGTTCATTGACTCATAACTATCCAGCGACTGGGATCCTGTTACCATGATACTAGTTCCGTGTCAGTGCTGGTGAGCAAACTGCCTTCCAAAACCCATGATCTAATTGGGCTGTTTCCAATAAGAGTCGGCGATGTGTCGAGATGCTAAAATTAAATAAGGAAAACCAAGAGTCAGTGCTACACGTGAACATTCTTCAAAACAAATCTTTGGTGTGCAAAAACGTGAGGGTGAGTAAATTAAATCTATATTAATTTAATCTACATTAATAGAAATCTAACTAAAGCTCCCTCGTTGTGTTCAGCTGGTTTCTCCTCTGATAAAAGGTATCTTCAGCCAATCAATAAGGCTTCTGTGAGGGCTCCTGGTATTAAAGGCATCTGTCACACCTGTTCAGTACAGCTCTGAAAAAGCAATCATGAGAGACACATGTGCCCACTCAGCAGAAACCCTTAAAGGGTTAGTTCACCCAAAAATGAAAATTCTGTCATTAATTACTCACCCTCGTGTTGTTCGAAACCCGTAAGACCTTTGTTCATCTTCGGAACACAATTTAAGATATTTTTGATGAAATATGAGGGCTCTCTGTCCCTCCCATTGACAGCAAGGTAACTACCACGTTCAAGGTCCAGAAAAGTACAAAGATGATCGACAAAGTAGTCCGTGTGACATCAGTGGTTCAACTGTAAAGTTACGAAGCTACGAGAATACTTTTTTGCATGAAAACAAAAATAACGACTTTATTCCACATTTTCATTTAATTCATAAATTATCTATTTCTTCACTGTTCTAAATCCTTGTTGAGACAGGCAGAATTTTTGCCTAATCGACTCAAATGTTTATTTTTTGTAGTCAGAACAGGAAAAAAAACAACAACAGGTAAAACCAAAAATGTAAGTCCGTACGGATGCCAAGATTTTTTCCATAATTCATTGTTGTTACATCACATTTTAAGACAAGACGACTTCATTAACCCACTGCATGCCGTTGAAAAGTTTGGGGTCATTAAGATTTTTTTTTTTTATACAGCAAGTGTGTAAATTGATCAAAAGTTAACAGTAAAGATGTATAATGGTACATAAGATTTCTATTTCAAATAAATGCTGTTCTTTTGACATTTCTATTAATCAAAGAATCCCAACAAAAGTACAGTTTCCACGATAATTCAACACTGATTATAATTTGTAAAAAATCTTCTTGAGCATCAAATTATTACATAGGAATCAGAATGAAGGATCATGTGAGTAATGGCTGCTGAAAATTCAGCCTTGCATCACAGGAATAAAT